GTCAGGATAGGCAATAAATAGGCTTAATTGGATATAGAAACCAACTCACAATTTCAGAACGATATGTTTTGTGTATTAAAATTTTCACTCACAGACACCTGTCATTCTATGTTTTATTTGGAAATTGTAAACATCCCTAACATTCGTACCTAAAATATAAGTAATTACTTGAGAAAATGGCATAACTTAAGCAGATATTTTTAACTAACAGACCTTTACCCTTGATTATAAACTAGACTTAGACAATCACATACAAAACATTATGAGACACAGCTCGTTATGAGATCACCCAATGAATTTAAAAATCCAAGTACATATTTATTAGTGGTTATCTTATTTATATTAGTTAATTTCCTTACGTATTTATGCATTTATATGCAATAACTATACAGGTATCACTTTAATATTTATAATAAGAAATATGATATAAATATAACAAGATAAAAAGAGAATTAATTTACTATAAATCAAAGACAACATTACGATTAAAAATCTTATTATACAATATGACATTTACAATATTACTACACACTATATCGTTATTTAATATAATAACTTCACAACAGTTACAATGTCTCATATTGTTTCTATGATTTTATGTTTATTAATTATAATATTCAACTGACTTAATTAAACTTAATACCTTAAGAATAAAATTAACAATGTCTAGCTTTATGTGTTCCTCATTTCCAATTAAGATTGATATGTAAAGCGAGGCCATTCGTTGTTGAGTTTACAATAAGTAATTAATGTTATTTAACATGAACTGTAAACTTATTTGTGGTACTATCAATAAACGTAAAAAAAAAAACTAATTAAACTTAGCAGCTGTTATTAGCTAATAAGGATTATTATAATCCACAATCGCGGTAATACGTAAATGATCTAACAGACCCTACTCGATAATCTATTAATGTGAGTTCAACCCTTTTTATACATGAAATAAAAAGTTAATTCTAAATATAATAAGGATGCCAAGTTGTCTTAAGACTATATTGATAATAAGGATATACATGTGCACTGAATGATATCTTAAGATAACTTGGCATACTTTTGTTTATCCTACATATATTTAAGCATAACATAAATTTTAAATCTTGTTAATCGTTCTGCTTGCCTGTTGTTTTAGTCATCCTTCTAATCTGACTTACGATTTTCACCGGTTCTTTTATGCCCAGGAACATTATTCAAAAAGATAAATATGTCAACATAATATATAAGTAATGTATGCTCAAAACGTTTTTAATAAATTCTTACTAAGCGAAAACTATATTTGCCAAAATAGTTGTGCCCAAGAATCAAAGGCCAAGTATATTAGGGAAAGAAGAGTTCCCGTATAATGACCAAATCCCTGAAGCTAAATCACAAACTTTAAACGTTAAATTTCAAGTTTATTTCCGTAATTTACTACCTCAGCTGTTGATTAGAGACGCATTTGAAATGGAGCGCTACGTTGTGACAAAATTAGTTTGTTATAGTTTATTAATCTCTAACTGTAGATGCGCTGTAACAACGGTATTAAAAAATCCGTCAGAGACCATAAAGACTTGAGAACATAGAAAGTGATAAAAATCGTCTTACAGTTTTTAAAGGTTATAATTTTAATTTTCTTCCGTTGTCATGCTTTTATGGAGGTTTGGTTTAATTTACCAATTTTGTAATTTAGATGATTTCTTTATCAAGATTTTTAGTCACACGTAACTTTTTGGTGGTTTAGTTATACAATAAGATAATGTTTCAGCAGTATTAAACTAAAATTAGTGAGTATACAATCTATGGAGTTTTATTTGTTTCTAAGTTAACTGAAAAATCAAAACTTATCGGAACCATATTCTACTGTATTTCTATATTCTACTGTATGTATGTATTTTTCCACGAAATGAGGATCAATTTTCTGAAACTTTTTTCGATGAGAAATACTCAGTTCTTATTTAACGACTGTCGGTTACAATCATAGGTAAGCCCATCTTTTGACTTAAGTTTTGACCGGTCTAAGGCCGGAAACCTACAAAGTTGTCAGTGTAATAAACCAAGTGTTTCTAGTCGAATAGTCGTTTACGCGATTACTTTTTTCCGCTTCTATGCCCCATATCCAGTTTGTTGGTTTAGAAATCGAGTCCGCTCCGCTAGAAGGATATGACGTAGATATGGTGTAATTATTGTATCTATTAACACGAATTAGCGTGTGTGAAAGACTAGTTCTAAGAGGATGCATTAAATAAATCGCTAACATAAAATTTAATGGGAAGAAAATAAAAATGAAATAAATCTCTAACCCTAATTGGGAGATACTGTATAAAATTCTCTTGCCAAAATAATATGATATAAATAGATATTAAGTTTATTTCCATAAGTTTATAAGAGTTCTCTCAGAAATAATAAACGAAAATCTTATAGAGAAATAAAAAAATACTCGAAAGTATTTTTCTAGAAGACATTATAGTTTTTAGCTGGTTTTCTCAAAAAAGTTTGCCGACGGAAGCGTCTTGGCAAAAAACACCCGAGATGCCATCTCGCGAGGACACGCTGGCCCAGTGCGGATTGAATTATATTAACAGCAAATGTAGCCAGAACCAACGGCTTAACTTTCCTTCTTTAACAAACCGTGTTTAACGAATAATTCCGCCCTCAAAACTCACTTTTCCATGAATACCGGTAGCATTTATCGTAACTATTAAAACTATGTAAACAAGGTACTTAATCACGCTCAGTTGCACCCAAATTTTCGTGGCCATAACACTTTTTCAATTTGACTAAACACTATCTTGTAGTCTCAGCTATGATATTCGTCCGTCAAACTACAATGGGCGCCGTGTGAAACGCGCCGGCTCACTGGAGCAAAACATCACTAGAATCTCAACTAGCATTCGATTACTTTCTTCCAAGAGAATTCCGTGGTTGAGATGATAGATTATCGAAACTCATCAGTTCTTTTGTTCCGTCATTATTATCACTATAATTTAATTGGATTCTTTTTTTATATTTTGGTCTTGGTTATATTTAACCGTGGAGTATTTTACATATCTGTTTTCTCGCGATGTCGCCCGCGTATGATGTAGTTTAAAATTGGATCAGCCGTTTCGGAGCCTATTTAATGGAAAAAACAATCAAATATTTCCTCTTTTTTTATATAAGTAAAGATATAGGATAGACAAGGAAACGTTTACTTAAACGATGCCGACTTTTGTTTGTTTTTTATATAATTTTTATTTAATCGGTACATAAAACAGCCATAAGCCAATACAAATATATACAACTAGCTAAAATATTATTACAACAAAGTTTTAATCATTAAAATAAACAATACATAAGTTGTAAAATCAGCTCGACAACAAAAACGAAAGGAATCAAGTTTAAAAGATGTCTTAAGAAAAGTATGAGAAGCATTCACTGCATAACATTGAAAAAAAAAATAGATACATTCATTCATATTTTTATATTATTGTACTGATCAGTAATTCGGATTTGTAGTTTAATATATATTTTAAGTAGGCATTCAATTTTATTTAGAAAATATTACTGATTCCAAGTATGTTATGCAACTTAATGTCACCAAAAGATGTCACATCAATCAATAATGAACTTTTTTAACTGTCCATATCATTTATCAGACAAAAAGTAAGCTTATATAATATGACTAAGTCTCAACACACTATCTTGATTTTAATTTTGTTTACATTAACAACTTTATCTTATGTAACTCTTCATAAAGAATTTGCAGTTATTTTAAATTTTAATTTGAACCTAACACACATTACGTACTTAATATTAAAATGTTTTTTAATAATAATAATATAATATAATAATTCCATTTATTACAAGCATTAACACTCATATACACGTAATAGGCGTGATGATTAATTTTTATTTGTTTGTCAGTCAAGTAGATTATTATACAAGTATTTTTTGTTTTTATTTTTAACATAATCAATAAATTATGGCGACATATTGTGTTGAAATGTCATATGACGTCACGCTTTTGTACATTTTCTACAAAACTGTGACTTAGCGGGCCACCATATACCAACCACCAATATCAATTCAATGCCTATTATCTAAGCAAAAATATATGCGTCTAGTATTTTTCTATGATCTGACTGACGGACTAAATAGAATTTCTTTTTTTTTACCCGATCAATCTATCAAGGATCTTATACACTTGTATAAAGATATACAAAAAATTTAAGCACGCTTTAATAATTTTATGGAATGATATATATTCATAATTATATTTATATAGGATATATAAGTTTGGATGAATGACTATTTTAGACCGATAAATCATAAACAATTAACAAATTTAATTTCATTATGTTACCGTTCAACTTTTTGTATCATAATAGACCGTTTACACGAGGCCAGTATCCGAGACAGTCTAGTAAAACCATTCTCATTTCAAAACCTATTGTAATCCCTTTTAAAGGTATATAATACTCTTTATTGCACTCAAAATTTTACATAAAAACTATATATAGGTATAGAAAAAGGTATAGAAAAAGGAACGATTGTAACAGCGATTAATTGGATATAATAAAAACATAGTTACTAAACTTGTAGTAATATTAACGTCTAACGCTTTGTTTAATGATTTCAATTAACGTCAAATTAACGATATCTTTAATTCAATCTCTTTCAAATAGACGTCACGACCGCAATCGCTGTCACATGTCAAAAGGTTGTAGCTTGAAGTTCGTGAATATTTTTCAAATGTAAAATTGAAAGGAATCGCGATAGATTATAAATTTAAACAATTAAACCTCGTGTAAACGGAGGCGAATAGAAAGATACCTAATTCTACTTGACTGGCTTCCTCGATTGTCTCGACTACTTATAAGCTTCGTGTAAATGGTCCATAAAGGACGTACCAACCACACTACGTTACGCCACTGTCATCTCGTGACTACAAGTGTTTTTCCTTTTAATTAATCACTAGCGAGATGATAAGTATAATATTATCTTATCTTTCATCATACATTTTATTTGTCGTTCGTCTTTCGCAGGCGCGAGGTCTGGTGGAGTGCGACTGAATCGGTGCGTCTGTGTAGGCGCGTGTAAAAGGTCCAGCTGTCGGCGCAATGGGGAAAAGGCTGGGCGTCGGTCTTTTGGCCTTACTGGCGGCTTATGACGTCGTTGTTGGACAGGGCGCCGAAAAAAGTGAGTCATTCTTTTTATTATTTATGAAGTCGTTATATCTAGGTGCTGATCAATTAGTTACAAATATTATAAGAGATTGTACCTTTTATTAAAATAATTAAGATGAATCGAAATTGGAAATATTTTCATATCAATTTATTGGTTTGGTCACCGAACAAAAAAAGAATGTCTAAAAATAAATAATATTTAACTGAGTTTCTATCATGCCAACAGTTGTTTGTATTAAATGTCATTTTCATACAAATATAAAGACATTTGATGTTAAAGTAGTTAATATAACAACGTAAGGTGGTCGCATAACGATGATTGAAAAGGTTTTAGGGTACTTAGTATTACATTTCAGGCTCATAACAGGATGTTTATACGTAGCAAATTTCTTTTCCCAGTTTTATCCAAAACGTATACTTAAATTTATCCCGATAGCCGATTACTATCAACTGTAAAAATATCTGTATTCAAATTTGTAGAAATCCTTTATATTTACGCTACATATCTTGCGGGGTAGAGAACAGCGTTACAAGGTACGGTTGATAATTTCCGTACTCTTTCTTGACATTAAAAACTCTTACTTCTTAATTATAATCAATTTTGCGTCTCAACGCTATATTAATATCATGCATCGGATTTTTCATAGATTTGTATGTATACATATCGCACTCCGTCTACTATCCGCACCGGCAGCAACGACCGCACTGACCGCACCGACCGCACGCATTATTTGAGCAAAGATAATGCGATTCGTACCGATGACGTCATTACGGATTACTTCCATAGAGTAAACCGTATGACGTCATCGGTCATACGGATTACTCACAGAGTTACAGTGTATATCAAAAAATTCAAACTGAACTTCTATTAAAATCCGGATGCAGTGGACGAATGAAATTGGCAAAGCCGTACAATCCGTTGCGTACCGTACGTACGAAGCGTGCGTGTTGACAAACTGGACGTTCACCTTATAAGCAACCCTGTTTAAATATTTTATGTGTATAAGATTTGAGGTGATGCTATGAGTATTAAGTTATGCAAGTTAACAATTATAAATACAAATTCCTCGGCAAATTCTTTATAGTTTTATTATATTTTATCATTTTTGAATTAACGATGCTGTAATGAACAATATTCTTAATGAAAATTACTTAAAAAATTTTGAAACTTTAAAAATTTTTTTTAAACATTTTTCATTAAGAATATTCTTTGTGGTTGTTGTCTTTGTAGTGTTTATCTATTATTTTATTGTAATTATTTTTTGTTTGACGGTGTAAATGTAAACGATAGTTAACTAATTTCTAGAAAATGTTTTCTAATATATAAGTATAAGTTATTCACGACTTCGGTAATAACATAAACGAACGTGCGGAAAAATAATTATGTAATTAGAATTTAACATCACAGTGACATAATGTTGGTTTCAGGTATGATTTCCATTGGTAATTAAATTTAAATTTATTTAATTAATGAAATCAACCAAAGATTGAGCAAAATATGTATTTATATTATACTTTAACCTATAAACATATAATACTAGGAGCTCGACGGGCGTTCGATCTACGATGCGGAAATAAAGCAACTTTCGCAAGGATCGGTCATAGGATGGGTGACCATAAATTGATTATCGCGAGCTCTTTCGTGCTTCAGAAGGCATGTTAAGCCATTAGTCGCAGGTGCATCTGCAATCGTTAACACCCACCAATCTGAATTGGGACTGTGTGGTGGCCCATCGTTCATTCTCCCTTATAATTCAATATGGATGATTAGAGTTAATATTCTACCATTAAAGAAGGCCTATGCACCGGCATTAGGGATATACATAGGTTAATCATTTTGAAAATGTAACCTCATTCTTGAAACTATAATTATCACATTTCATTACATAGTTCTTTTTCGACTTATCGATTGAATGTAAGACATATCTTTGAAGATTATCAGTACGTAACACATAATCGTTTGAATTACATATAAGGAAATAATGTAATCGATTAGGTACTCAATAATATCCATTTCATCGCATTTCACACGCAAAGGCACGATGATAAAAAGTAAAATAGCGATATGATTGAAAAAGAAAGCATTATTTCGCTATATCGGAATAAAATAAAAAAATAGAAAGCACCAAAAAAGCACGAATGGACCAAAGATAGTCATTTCCGTTCCTTTTAACTAACATATTAAAAAACTGAAATTTGCAAAGTTCAAAACTCAGATATCAATACAAATACCAAAAAGTACAAATAGAATATGAGTTCTTTATTGAGTTTTGTAAAATTTATTCACTTTTATACATGAAGGAAAACCGGAAGAGTTTTCATGGATAAATCAAGAAAGTACCGTAGCGACATCTAGTTTGATTTCGGGAACTTGTTGTGGTAATCCTGTTTGAACGGTGCAATACGAAGTAGAGACTTCAGTAATCTGTGACACCGGTTCATCTAGTAATGTATATAACTTTGAAAGATTACTTGTAAAGTTTTTTAAAACGGCTGGACCGATTTTGACAGAACTTTTACTGGCATATAGCTTATGTAATAAAAAGTTACTAAGGCTACTTTCCACGCGGTCGAAGTCGCACAGCTAGTTGCTAAATATAACATTAAATAAAATTCAATTATAATATTGCAATGCGAAAGTCTGTGGGGATATATTTATAGTTTATGTGTATCTGTGGTGTGTACATTTTTACTCTTTTACACAAAAACTACTGAACGGATTTTGGTATACAGATAATTCTAAGTCTGAATTAACAAACTTTTTTTATACTTCTAAGAAGGTGTATCTAAGAAGATTAGGACCTTTTTCGTACGATCAAGGGGATATAAAGTTAAATTATTTAATTTAAAACATAAGTAACACTTTCCAAAGAGGACTCTAGCGAGTCTGCAAGTACTAATTATATACGTGTAAAGATTACTTTATTTCTCATGAGTATTCAAGTGTACCTCTGAGACGGTTTAAAACTGTGTCAAGACTGCGTTATCGTGTACGAAGGCGAGTACCAAAGCATGTGTTACAACTTACATTGCGTATTGAGGACGCTTCGTACACTCGCTCCCTTGAGGATAAACTGAGGTCGTGAGTCATAGTTCCTTATTTAGGAAACCTTGTACTTTTTCTTTAGCTTTCGATGCAGAACTGATTGAATATAGAAACTAGTATATATAACATCACCACGTTTTAGTTTTTTACTGCGTGTGAGTTTGATTTCTTTCCCTGAGCGTGCACCGAAGGCAAAAGATCACGCTGTCATTCACCAACTAGATGGACCTGTGAGATGGACCGATAAGGTGAATCACTCATCATTGTCCACATTTTACACCGTCGTTAAAGACGTGTTTTAAAGGAATCAGTGGAAGAGAATCATTCGCACCAGATGCAACCGTGATGCTGACCACGATCCGCAGTCATGAGGGAGCGACTAGGAGAGAACATGATCACCATAATTATCTAAGGAAATAGATACGACAATTGGTAAAGCACAGTTAAGGAAAGGGTTATTCGTGTGCAAAAACAATATGTCACGGCGCCATCAACCAAAAAGGGTAGATAGAAGACACGCAGGTCAAAATTGGATGCAAAAAGCTTTAACCTTCTAATATGGAAATGGAAGATGCCTATGTCTCAAAGTAAAAACTGAAAGGCATAACAATACTGATGGAGATTTTCGCGACCATTTATTAAGTAGAATTAGATTTCGAGTACCGATTAAATATCCACGTAAACCAATCGCACATCTCTGTCCACCTTTTCGTCACAACACGGCAGGCTCAAATTCTGAAATTTGTCGAATGTGTAAAATATATAATAACTGCTGCAGTGATGTCATTGACGTCCACGCTATGAGCTTGAGAAAATTTAAGTTGCAAATCAACAGTCAAAATTTTTAGTTTTTTTTCTGTAATCTTAGTTGTGTTGTTATTAAACAATATATTATTAATTTTAATTTTCACCTTATTATCTAATTGCATAAAATTATCGGTATGATATGGTTTATGGAAAAATGGTTCCATACAGCAATGTACGGTCGGCAAAAAAGCAGTCTTCAAGTTTTGAAAATAGTAAACAACGCTGTGAGATTTAATAATCGCTAAGGTTGACTTTCCTAACGGAACTTATAGCTCAGTTATGACGTATTTTCATTTATCTGAGTAGTCTAAAATTTTAACAAATTATCGCTGTCATAATATTATAGCAAAGGAAAAACGACCTTGTTTTTGATATTGAAAAGAACTTCAACCGTACTTAATAAATAGATATTAAAGAATCAATAGTATAGTATTATAATTGTATTATAGTTACACAATATGAGAACTATATGAATACTCACACTATGACACGAATACGAAATAGTATGAAACAATTTATTAACATTGCATTCATTCATCTATTATATTTTTCTATGAATAATTTGTATTTACCAATCAAACGAATAATATCAGTAATCAGAACAGCCATAATTGCTATTACGTTAAGGTACATTATTAAATAATTTCAAGTCACTATCGAGAATACTTTCCCATCGGTACGGTACGTAGATTACATACTCCAATTTGAGGCTATTGTCCGAAAAGATTGCCAACTCATGTCTAAATACTGCTAGGGTAAAATGTACTTTATTTTTAAAGTCTTAACGTTCGTTAATAAAAGAGTTCGTCGACGTAACACAATTTTAACTTCTTTGTCGGTGTCGTGGTATCGTTTCAATTTGTCTTATAAATTGATCATTCTTTAGATTTCCTATCTGGTAAAATTTGTCGGTACTGTTATTATATAAAATTAGGTACGAATTTTCTTAGTTTATTCTTTGAATTTACTTGACTTGGTATTACGCTAGTTACGGGTAAGATGACGTCACCATTAAGAACATCCTCCTATTCAGTATTATCGCCATTTTCAGTGTCACTGGTTTCAAAGAAAATGAAGTAATCCCAAAAAATGCGTTAGTGAAGTAACGTAATGTAGGAGTACAGTGAAATTATCAACAAGGTCAAAATAAACTTTACCAA